TAATAGTATTGACATAAATACCACATCAGGTGTAGTGAGAGGTCTCACTATAAATGTGTTGAACACTAGTGTTGACCAGTTTTTGAACATCCCTTACGCTGAACCCCCGGTCAGGGACCTGAGGTTCGCTAAACCACAACCACTCAAAGCACCAAAAAAGGTATGCATTTTACGGAAATTTAAAATTCAATTACATAATTATTAAAAATTTTAAATAAGTTCATACACAAGCATTCCCGCATACATTTATTTCCCCAACCTAGAGTGTATTTACTAATTTGAATGACCCGTGATGAAAAATGTTTATCGACTATTAGGAAATAATCGATGGGACTAAGCCGGGAAACTCATGCATGCAAATACCGGAACCCGAAACGTCGGGAATTTTGTCAACACTAATGTATAGCGAGGACTGTTTGGTACTAAACATATGGACACCAAACATTGAGAACAGTAGGTCACCAACAGAGTCGCCACTAAAAGCCGTAATGTTTTGGATATATGGTGGCGGACTGTCATCAGGGTCCATATTTGACACCCAATATAACGGCAGCGTTTTAGCCACGTATGACGTGATGTTTGTGTCGGCAAACTATAGGTTAGGACCGATTGGCTACTTATATGGTGGCGATGGGACGGCGCCGGGAAATGTAGGCTTTTTTGATCAACTATTGGCTCTCAAATGGGTATAACACGTGTTGCTAATTATATTTGGGTCGTCCAATTAATACGTCTGAAATGGGGTAGACTTAAGTTAGACTAATCAAAGCAAATATCAAACAGCGAATAGTCAATGTTCAACACAATAGTTTAAGTGTACCTTGTTCAAATGTAACTTGTAATGGATAATTCCATAAATAGATACTTTACATTGTTTATACATTTTTCCAACCCGGAAGTACGTACTTATTTAACGATCCCTAAACCTCATAATACAATAGGATTACAAATATGAAAGGACATTTATCCGCACAAAATGTGTATATATTTTGTGAACGAATCTAATTTTTTTAATTCATATAAAATATAAGGTCAGAGAAAATATCCACGTGTTTGGTGGGGACAGGGATCGGATCACTATATTCGGTGAGAGCGCCGGTAGTTGGTCCGTATCGGCGCATATCATAAGTCCGTTAGCTCGGGGTCTATTTAAACGGGCTATTATGCAAAGCGGAGCTCATATGTATAATAAGGACAGGGATGTGATCAGCAAGTCTGAGGCCTTAACAAAAGCCAAACATATGGCGCAACAACTCAATTGTAGTGATGCTGACGATTGGTTGCGGTGCCTGAGAGGTGTCGGCGCCCATGAGTTCCTAAATTTTGAGACTTATCTGACATTTCCGGTGTTGGGCACTGAATACCTGCCACTATCGGCTCAACAGGCATTTATGGACAATAAATTTAACTCAGGTTTGTATGTAATTTAAACATACCCTGGCGACTGGTATTACAATGAAGTTAACATTAGCTTTACAGTAAAGCTAACTTTACCAAATCTAACATAATCTAACTCGGATGCACCCAAAATCGCGAATCCCATAATCGCGAATCTAAAATAACTAGTACAAAATCGCGAAACCCAAAATCGCGAAATTGTTTAAACTATTATTGAATCAAGCTAAATTACTAACTAACCACCGTCTACATGTAACATGCTACATTTATAACTAACCACTGTATATATTAAACTAGATATATTATATAACTATATATATTATACAATATATATTAACTAACCACCGTATAAAACTAGATATATTATAAACTAGATGTATATATATATTAAACTAGATTTCTTTTTCAATTATTATAATTACTTATTACTTATAATAATTATATATACAGTTGTTAATTCGTAATGTAGCTAGATAAATAAATACAGTGGTTAATTAGTAATGTATCTAGTTTAATATATACAGTGGTTAGTTATAAATGTAGCATGTTACATGTAGACGGTGGTTAGTTAGTAATTAAGCTTGATTCAATAATGGTTTAAACAATTTCGCGATTTTGGGTTTCGCGATTTTGGTTTTCGCGATACTGTTTTTCGCGATTATGGGATTCGCGATTTTGGGTTTCGCGATAATGTCCTTCGCGATTTTTAAATTCGCGATTAT